CAGAGACCTAGGATAGAACCAATATGACTAGGGGAGAAATGTTATGTAGTGATGCCTAACGATATTTTGCTATACACATAGATTGGTGCCTAGTCCAACTGTCATCAGAGAGGCTTCATCTGGTAACTTATGGAAACAGATCTAGACCCACAGTCAAACATTAGGCAGTAAAACATCAGGGAATCCTGCAGGGGAGAAAGGATTGTAGGAGCCAGAGGGGTCAAGGACATCACAAGAAAATTCACAGAAGCAACTAACCTGTGTTCATGGGGGTTCACAGAGACTGAACTGACAATTAGGCAGCCTGCATGGGACTGATCCAAGCAAGCATGCATACATACATACATACATACATACATACATACATACATACATACATACTCAAACACCACACACATATACATGCACACAAAAACACTACCAGATACTTATATTTGTACTGTCTACAGTTGTGTAGCTTGGTCCTCTTGTGGGACTCCTAACAGTGAGAACAAGGGCTGTTTATGACTCTTTTACTAGCTTTGGGACCCTTTTCTTCGTACTGGGTCACTTTGCCCAGCCTTAATACATGGGAAGGTGTTTAGTCTTATTGCAACTTGATATGCCATGTTTTGTTGCTACTCATGGGAGACAACAAGGATATCCAAGCTATGCCAGACACCATGCCATTGAGATTTTATTTGCAAGGAAATCATGCTAGTCTGTTGCTAAAATAGAGCCTTGAATTGTGTATTGTGCCCTTTCCTAAACAGAAATGGAGGAAGAGTGTGTTGGGGATGGGTGGGTGGGAACAGAGTGAGGGGAGGGCCTGGGAAGAGAGGAAGGATGGGAAACTGAGGCCAGAATGTAAAACAACTAAAAATAAAAAAGCAGGCTGCACAATACATGGAGAGTAGGCCAGTAAGCAGTGTTCTTCCATGGTCTCTGCTTCAGTTTCTGCCTCCAGATTTGCTTTGAGTTCTTGCATAGCCTCCCCAAAATAATGGACCTTGATCAGGTTTAGAAGTCAGAGAAACCTTCCCATCCCAGGTTGCTTTTGTCCAAAGTATTTTATCACAACAACAGAAAGCAAACAGGAGTATCTTTCTATCTTACTATTAAACACAGAAATGATGTTTTTATTAAATTGCATATTATATAGCACGAGGCACATCCCTTTGCTTAGTTGACTCATTGGCACAATTTGTCTTCAGATACAGTGACTACACAATTTGTTAGCCATCAGGACA